CTCAAAAAAATTAAAATGAAAAAACTAAAAAATTATGTCATTTCATTTAAGTATCATGGGAAAAGACCAAAGCAAACTTAATTTTGATTTAAAAATACTTATTTTAGTTTTTTTAAATGGGATTTTAATGAAATGATATAATTTTTGAAACTTTTTTCACCCTAATTTTTTAAAGGTCTAATTGGCAAACACTTTTCCCTATATATATAGATGAGATTGATGTTTGCTGGTCGAAGAAGCTTTAAAAAAGTTACAAGGACAAATATTTTAAAACTATATTATTTTATTAAATTACCATAGGAAAAGATGAAAACAAACTCAATTTTGGTTTAAAAATAAATTATTTTATTATTTTTCAATTGAGATTTATTGAAATGATGTATAGGCTTTTTGGACTAGGATTTTTCAAAATAATTGATAGCTGATAATTGATATTTGATGACTGATAATCATTGATATTGTTTACACCTAAAATAAACTAATAGGATAAGGCCACGTGTCAAAGTAAAGCTCAATTATCAAGAAAATCAATAGGCTGGATTTGGGCTGGGCTGGGTTGGCTTACAATTTAACAGCCAAGACGGATTTCCAAGGAGGTTGGATCTTAGGTGGCAGAAGATAAGATTGGATCTGGTAGTTTGAGTTTGATTTAAAATGGGAAATTCCGGATTTTTAGGTAGTTATCTTTAAGGTTGTTGGAGATAAGGTTAAATAAAAATCAGATAACTATTAAATAACTGCTAGACCTGCAATCCCATTACCAGATCATGGAGGAGCAGTGCCGAAAATCAAGGAACAGTACCGAAGATCATGGAGAAAGTTACCAGCACCGAAGAAAATAAATATAGAGAGAAGAGAACAATTTCAAGCCTACCCAACACACACAAAAACTGCCCAGAGCATGTTTCTCAGCTTTCAGACTGTATTTTCCAGATTTCAGCAATAGTTTTTAGATTTTCCAGATTAGTTCATAGCCTTAGCCTAGGTTTGTTCATCTTTGTTCATATTTCCTCAAGCAAATTCCAATTTAGATTAATTTTTAAGCATTTGGAAGCAACTTAGCCTTCAAAATAGGTCTACCCTTTTGATTCGATTAATTCTTCTTCCTTTTATGGATTTAATTATGTTATTCGTTCATGTAAATAGGTTGAACATTTTCTACCTTTGTTCTTTTGTTTCTGCACAATATCCAGACATGCAATTTGTTTAATTTCAATTTCCAAATTTAAATTTATAAATTCTTAGACTTTAATCATTTCATAGTTTCTTCTTCAATTCTAGTTATCATTATGGGCTGCGTAGTAAAAATCATTGTTTGTTATTTTACATTTTCTGTTGTCTGCGAATTTAATCTTTATGGCATGTTATTTTTTGTTATTTACTTTATGTTAGTTTAATTATTTTAGGATATTGCATTTATTTTAGGATTTGTAGCTTTTATTACACTTGTTTAGTTGTGAAGTCCTTGAAGGTTTCCAAGGCAATTAGTAACCCATTTTGCAGAGCTCCACCCTCTGTTTTGCAACATCGTTTGGGGCGCAATTCATTTCACAAACGTTCTTTCCAACCATCCTATTAGAGGTTGACCACTGGAAAGGAGAAGGGTCATTTAGAAAATCCAGTTTTCTTGTTTTTAAACAAAGCAAGTGGCACGCCTAACATCCAACTCACGTGGTAAAGGCCGATTGAGGATTTTTGAGGAAACAATCCTTTGTTGGCACGCATAGTGGGATAACCAACAAGATGTATCAGTTCCAGTTCACAAATCCTCTGTTCATACATTTAGAGGCGTCTAGAGCCATGCCACCGAGAAAGAGCAAAGATAAAGAGCTTCAGCCAGCCCAAGCTGAACATGCAGATGACAGTCTAGTTTACTCAGAGGGTGAGAATGATCCAATTGTTCCTCTTTTCTTATCACCCTTCGTGGAGTGATCTTATGGCAATCCAATTTTCAAAGAAAGAGATGCAGACCGCAGAGATGACTTTGCTGAATCAAGTAATGTGTTTAGAGGTATGACTGAACGTCTGGATTTAGCATTCAAAGAACAGAACCAGGCTATGCAGAGACTTGTTGAGAGTCAAGCAGAATCCTCCAAACGTCAGGAAGAGCTAATTAGACAATGTATAGAAGAAATGAGATGGGTCTTTGAAGAAGGCACTAGGGTGATGCGAGAAACTGGGGAAAAAAATCGTAGAACACTGCAGGCTGTTTCAAAACAAGTGGTTGAGCAAGTGCGACAGCCCAGACCTGAGATCCCTCCTTCGGTCGTTGAAATGCCCAGACAAATTTAGGAAACCCCAATCCCAACACTCGGGGGGCAAGGGAATCAGCATCATCCTAACATTCAACAGCAGAATTTCTTCATGGGTGAAGGACAAAGACAACAGGAACCAATGGAGGCTGCTGCTCTCGTTGCAGACCATGGCCATCAACCTCAGCATAAGTATATTTCGCCAAGTGTGAAAGGAAATGTGGGTCCTTATCATCAACCCTACCCAAGGGACTTTTTCCAGCCACAAGTTCCTCCAGCCCAGCCGGTACAGTGCGGTCTACAGAATCAACCAGCTCAATTATTCAATAAAGATCAACTAATAGATTTGGTACAAGAAACCTATGGACCAGCCTTGAAACCATTGGTACGTCCAGCCTACAAGAAGCCTTATCCAGACGTCATTGATCATGAAAATCCTTTTCCAAGGGGTTTTAAAGTGCCTGAGTTCACTTTATTTTCTGATGAGGTTGGTCAGTCCACCATTGAACACATTGGACGCTTCACAATACAGTGTGGAGAGGTCTCTGGAGATGATAACTTGAAACTCAGACTGTTCCCCTAGCTCTTTGATTGGGACAGCCCTTACTTGGTACCTCAGTCTGCCTCAAAATTCAGTCTACTCTTGGAGGCAAATAGAGGACTTGTTTCATACTCAATTCTATCGTTGTGAACCAGAAGTGTCTATGGCAAACTTGTCGAGGTTAGCCCAAAAGCCTGGAGAATCGTCTGAAGCATTCCTTGCGAGATTCTGGAGAGCTAGACTGAAATGTAGAGTTGCACTGCCAGAACAGGAATTTGTCAAGCTGGCTCGGAATGGTCTGGACATTGAGCTCCGAAAGAAATTTGAGAGGATGGAATTCTGAGACTTTTATGAATTGTCTTATAAAGTGGCTCAGTATGAAAATCTGCTGAAAGAAGATGTTCAAAAGAAAGATGCATCACATGGAACCTATTACAGTGACCCTAATTTTGATCTTGATGTGGCTGAGGTTGTTACAGACAAGCCTATTGTTTGTCCAGACCTTGTCAGACCAACTCACCAGCCTGAGACGTCTGTGAGACGTTATGTTGGTGAGGCTGAAAAACAGTATACTTTTGATGTGTCAAAAGCTAGTGATATATTCGACCACCTTAAAAAGAGTGGTCTGATTAAGCTGCCACAGGGACATAAAATCCCAACAGCAGCTGAAATCGGAGCTAGAGATTATTGCAAATTTCATAATTCTTGGAAGCATTCTACTGATAATCGTCTTATTTTTCGTAATGTCTTGCAAGAAAAGATTGATAAGGGTATCTTGAAATTTCCAGACAAAGCGAAGGAAACCATGGGAGTGGATGCAGACCCTTTTCCAGCTGTGTCTGTCAGCGTGAATGTTGCAGACCTTAGGAGTGTTGCCAGAAATCGTAGTCTGCCTTATGCTTAAAGGAACCTTGCTGCTGAAGACTTGAGGTGGGTGCTTGAGGCACAGAGATCCAGACATGGCAGGAGCGTCAGGTCAAACCAATAGAGGCTCGGGGGGCAAGGAAGGATCATTGTGACCAGGAACTTTAGTCCAGAAGGTGCCAGACGATATTCAACTGGTACTAGATCTCCAAGGATGGTCAAACTGCCACTTAAGTCACCTTCCAGACGGTGGGAGAAAGTCAATCACCCCAAGTTTCCAACCCAAAATCCCAGAACCTTGAGCCACAGACTGCAATGCAAGAGAGCTGAAGAGCGAAAAAGGCAATAGAAGCAGATGGGGGCTAAAGGAAGTTCATCTCGCAGACCACGCCAACCTACCAAAAGGAACATGGTGTGGGTGAGAAAAGAGAAAAATGAGACTGTAACCCAAACTCTACTAAAGGGGAATGACCAATCTCCAACCTCTCCAAAGGTGGCATCTGTCATTGTGAGTCAAGATGGAGTTTTGAAAGCAACTTTTGAAGCACAAGAACAGTCTGGGAATCGTGGAGCTGAATCAAAAGAAGATGGCACTATTCGTTTTGGGGAATTCTCAGTGAATTTGTCATGTCTGGTGCTGACATTACCCTTGGTTTTCCAAACCAATAAGGAGGAGGAACCAATCGTCTGTGAGTTCCCAGAACAGATAGAAGAAGAGGCAATCATTGTTCCAGCTCAGGATGACAAAATTGTGTCTGAAAAACCAGAAGAAAAGATGGCTAGACACATTAGGCCACTTTATATCAATGCTCACATGGATGGGACTCCAATCAGTCGTGTCTTGGTAGATAATGGAGCTGCAGTCAATGTCCTTCCAACTTGCATGCTCTACAAAATAGGCAAGTCTCTTGATGATTTAGTGCATACTGAGGTTACAATCAGTGATTTTACAGGAGGGGTGAATCGTTTAAGGGGTGTGCTACCTGTTGAATTAACAGTGGGAAATAAGACACTGATGTCTGCGTTTTTTGTGGTGGATACTGTTGCTACTTATAATGCACTTTTGGGGCGTGACTGGATTCATTCAAGTTGGTGTGTCCCTTCTTCACTTCACCAGAAACTAATTTTCTGGAATGGTAGCAAGGCTAAGGTCGTGTCTGCAGATGATAAGCCTTTTTCAACCAACACCCACCTGGTGGAGGCTAGATATTATGAAGAAGACATTGGTACCATTCGATTTTTTGGGATGGATAGACATGGGAAGCCGATTGGGATAACAGCATGTAGCAGACCGTCATTGTCTACGCGTGTTGTGGAGGAAGTCTGTGATGAACTTCTTCGGCCAACAACAATAATTCCTTATAGGCTAAAGGGGAAATTAAAAATTGAAGAAATCTAATGAAGCAAACACGTCTGAGACAAGAAAGAGAAAAGGCCGTGTTGGAGAAAACAAAGAAATTAGTGGCCCATTTTACTGAAAAAGTAGTTCAGGTAGACAGGTCTGAAATTGTTCATGAAGGCGAGGAGGCAGACCAGGGTGATGAAATAACTTTGGAGGAGCTGGATCTTGCCCAAGCCAAGCTGGATGATTTAAAAGCTGAAGTTCAAGACCCACTGGAGGAGATCAATCTAGGGTCTGAAAGTGAACCAAAGGTAACATTTATTAGCGGCTCTCTTGAGCTGCAGACACGAGATCAAATTGTCAGACTTTTGCATGAATTTAAAGACTATTTTGCTTGGGATTACTTAGAACTGCCAGGTCTGGATTGGAAACTGGTGGAACATAAACTGCCAATTGTAGAAGGATTCAAACCGTATAAACAGCCGCCCAGACGCATGTCTGCATAGGTCACTTTGAAGGTGAAAGAAGAAATTGAGTGGCTGGTAAAAGCTGGATTCATTCGGACATGCAAATATGCAGAATGGTTGTCAAATGTAGTGCCTGTGCTGAAAAAGAATGGAAAACTAAGACTCTTGTGTTGATTTTCAAAACTTGAATTTAGCTACACCAAAGGATGAGTATCCTATGCCAATTACAGACTTGTTGGTTGATGGAGTAGCCCGTCACAAAATTCTATCTTTCATGGATGGTCATAGTGGGTACAACCAAATTTTTATTATAGACGCAGACGTTCCTAAGATGGCCTTTCGATGCCCAGGTGATGTTGGAAATTTTGAATGGATTGTGAGGCCATTTGGTCTGAAGAATGCTGGAGCTACTTATCAAAGAGCCATGAATGCAATTTTTCATGATATGATTGGTAAGTTCATGGAAATCTATATTGATGATGTTGTGGTGAAGTCACATGGGGAAGCAGACCACCTGGTCCATTTGAGGAAAGCTTTTGAACGGATGAGGCAACATGGCTTGAAAATGAACCCACTAAAGTGTCTTTGGAGTGTTTGCGGGTAACTTCCTTGGGTACTTGGTGCATGAGCGTGGTCTGGAGGTTGACAAGAACAAAGCCAGGGCTGTGATTGAGGCAAAACCACCACAGAACAAGAAGGAGTTGCAAAGATTTCTTGGCCAAGTTAATTTCTTAAGACGTTTCATTTCTAACTTGGCTAGGAAAACCAGAATCTTTTCTCCTCTGTTGAAACTCAAGTCTGAGGCGGATTTTAAGTGGCAAGAACACCACTAGTCTGCCTTTGATATGATAAAGCGGTACTTATTCAGACCACCAGTACTTATACCGCCTGTGAAAAATAAGCCTTTAATTTCGTATATATCCGCCGCAGACGAGTCCATAGGATGTCTGCTGGCGCAAGAAATTGATAAAAAACAGGAGCGGGCTGTGTATTACTTGAGTCGATGTTTGACCCAGACCGAAGTAAAATACTCTTCGGTCCAAAAGTTGTGTCTTGCTCTCTTTTTTGCTGCAATAAAATTAAGACATTATTTGATTTATTCCGAGGTCTATGTGGTTGCTAAGACTGATATTGTCAAATATATGTTGTCTCGCCCTTTGTTAAGAGGCCGAATAGGTAAATGGATTCTGGCTTTATCTGAATTTAATTTAAAGTATATACCACAGAAGGCTGTCAAAGGGCAGGCACTAGCAGACTTTCTTGTAGATCATTCATGTCTAAACGTGGAAGCAGACGAAGCAAAAGGGATTAACTTGTTTTCAATAAGTTTAGTTCCTTGGAAACTTAACTTTGATGGATCTAGCATAGAAACCGTGTCTGGAGCTAGAGTCGTGGTTATCTCCCCGTCTGGGCTAAAAACACAGATGTCTTTCCAACTGGATTTTGATTGTACAAATAATCAAGTAGAATATGAAGCTTTGATTATTGGTCTTGAGATGTTGGTGGAGCTTAAAGTATCCATGGTTGAGGTTATAGGGGACTCACAACTAGTCTTGAAGCAATTGTCTGGTGAGTACAAATGTGCTAGTCTTGCTTTAGCCCCTTATTTTGCCTTGGCTGTGCAATTGCTGGAAGAGTTTGATGATGTGTCTATCAGACACGTCTCTAGAGACCAGAACTATGAAGCTAATGAAATGGCCCAGATTGCTTCAGGTTTGCGAATTCTTGAAGGTGTGATGCAGAAAGTTGTAATAGTTGAAAAACGTAGTCTACCATCAATTCATCAACGTGGCATGACTGTCTCTACTTGCAGCATTGATGTTACCCAGACAGACTAGCGCTTTCCAATTATTTAGTACCTTAAGGATCAAAGCAGTAAGGTATCTAGGAAAACCAAAATGCAAGCTCTCAATTATGTTTTGATTAAGGATGTGCTTTATAGGAGAAGCCATGATGAACTACTGCTGCGTTGTCTGGGTCCAGATGAAAGTTTCCAGGTGTTGTCTGATGTCCATGACGGGATTTGTGGTGCACACCAGGCTGGGATCAAGATGCACTAGCTGATTCGCAAACATGGCTTCTTCTGGCCGTCCGTCTTAGAAGATTGTATTGCTTATGCTAAGGGCTGCAAATGTTGTTAGATCCATGGGCCACTTCAAAGAGTTCCAGCCTCTAAACTTAATTCTATAGTGAAACCATGGCCATTTCGAGGCTGGGCTATTGACTTAATTGGTAAGGTGTATCCCCCTTCATCAAAAGGTCATTCATTTATTATAGTGGCAACGGATTATTTTACCAAATGGGTGAAGGCTAAACCAATGAAGAAGGTAGACCAATCTGATGTAATCAAGTTCATCAAAGAGGACATTATTCACAAATTTGGTCTGCCAGAAACAATTACAACAGACCAAGGCACAGTTTTTGTCAGCCATCAAGTGGAGGCATTTGCAAAGGAAATGGGTTTCCGTCTGTTAAATTCTACTCCTCATTATGCACAAGCTAATGGGCAGGCGGAGGCTTCTAACAAGGTGGTGATTAATTTGCTTGAAAAAATGGTGGATGACAATCCCAGACGCTGGCATGAATTATTGTCTAAAACACTATGGGCTTATAGAACTTCACAGAGGAGTTCAACCAAAATGACACCTTTTGCCTTGACATATGGCCATAATGCAGTCTTGCCAATGGAGTTAATAGCCAGGTCTTTAAGAATAGCAATTCAACATAATCTCCAGTCTAGGGAATATGATGAGGCCATGATGCTTGACCTTGAGGACCTTGAAGACACACGTTTGACAGCTTTGGATAGATTGCAAGCTCAAAAGCTCAAAATTGCAAAGTCTTACAACAAGAGGGTAAAAGGTAAAAATCTGGCAGTTGGTGACTTGGTCTGGAAAGCAATTTTACCTCTTGGTAAGAAAGATCACGGATTTGGGAAATGGTCCCCAAATTGGGAAGGACCATTTCGAATTCATGAAGTGTTGAGAGAGGGTGCTTATTGGTTGGAGTCATTTGATGGAAAGCTTCATCCCAGAAAAATCAATGGAATTTATCTCAAGCCTTATTACCTGACAGTCTGGGAGGCAAGAGGCTTAGAGTCTTAAGAAGCTGTCTGAGCCAGGTTCATACTTCTGTCTGTGCATAAATAAGTTGATTTGCTTTTATGTGTTTATTCCAAAATGAGAGCAAGTTTGATCAAGCGGCCATGACTGGCTGTGGATGGCTGGATGCGCTCAAACAGAGTCAGCTGTGAAAAAGTTGGGAATACCTGCTGCAATCATCTTGGGATTTAGCAGATTTTACACGTGGCCTTTGGAGTCTAAAAGGTAATTTAAAATTTAAACACTTGGATTTATTCCCATAAAACCAAGTGTTGGGGGGCATTGTTTACACCTAAAATAAACCAATAGGGTAAGGCCACGTGTCAAGGTAAAGCCCAATTATCAAGAAAATCAATAGGCTAGATTTGGGCTGGGCTGGCTTACAATTTAACAGCCCAGACGGATTTCCAAGGAGATTGGATCTTAGGTGGCAGAAGATAAGATTAGATCTGGTAGTTTGAGTTTGATTTAAAATGGGAAATTGAGGATTTTTAAGTAGTTATCTTTAAGGTTGTTGGAGATAAGGTTAAATAAAAATCGGATAACTATTAAATAACTGCTAGACCTGCAACCCCAATACCAGATCATGGAGGAACAATACCGAAGAAAATAAATACAGAGAGAAGAAATCAGTTCGAGGCCTGCCCAACACACACACAGACTGCCCAGAGCATGTTTTTCAGCTTTCAGACTGCATTTTACATATTTCAACAATAGTTTCTATATTTTTCAGATTTTCCAAATTAGTTCATAGCCTTAGCCTAGGTTTGTTCATCTTTGTTCATATTTTCTCCCGCAAATTCCAATTTAGATTAATTTTTAAGCATTTGGAAGCAATTTAGCCTTCAAAATAGGTCTGCCCTTTTGATTCGGTTAGTTCTTCTTCCTTTTATGGATTTAGTTATGTTATTTGTTCATGTAAATAGGTTGAACATTTTCTACCTTTGTTCTTTTGTTTCTGCACAATATCCAGACATTCAGTTCACTTAATTTCAATTTCCAGATTTAATTTTATAAGTTTCTAGACTTTAATCATTTCATAGTTTCTTCTTCAATTTTAGTTATCAAGTAGTTTAGGTATTTTTTATTTTAATTCTGCCAGTAATTAGTTTAATCATTATGGGTTGCGTAGTTGAAATCATTGTCTGTTATTTTACTTTTTCTATTGTCTGCGAATTTAATCTTTGTAGCATGATATTTTCTGTTATTTACTTCATGTTAGTTTAATTGCCTTAGGATATTGCATTTATTTTAGGATTTGTAGCTTTTATTACACTTGTTTGGTTGTGAAGTCCTTGGAGATTTCCAAGGCAATTAGTAACCCATTTTGCAGAACTCTACCCTCTGTTTTGCAACATCGTCTGGGGCACAATTCATTTCACAGACGTTCTTTCCTGCCATCCTATTGGAGGTCGACCGTTGGAAAGGATAAGGGTCGTCTGGAAACTCCAGTTTTCTTGTTTTTAGACAAAGCAAGTGGCACGCCTAATAACCAAACTCACGTGGTAAAGGCCGGCTGAGGATTTTTGGGGAAACAGATATATTTATACTTCAAAATATCTAATCTATTTAATTAAAATTAGCAACTGATATCTATTTTTAAAAAATCAAAACAAATGACCCTGTAATTTTTGGGTATTTTTCTTTTTCCTCTTAATTTCTTAAAAACTCCACTTGCAAATACTTATATATATATATATATATGGGGCCTAACAGTTAACCAATTTATCACAATCCCTCTAATTGGATAATGGAAAACAGGAGAGGATAGACGAACTACATCAGCCCTCAATCTCCATCCCCTTTCATTAATGAACTAATCCAAATAAAGAAAGAAACACCTTCCCTTCACTCCTCTTTTATTTCCCTCCAAATCGCTCCGTTACGTCAAATTGTATGCACAATCTTATCTAAAATACCATGACCAACCAAACCTAAAATACCGGGACCAACCAAACAAAAAAAGAAAAAAAGAAAAAAAAAAATCGAACATCACAATTTCACTATGTTTTCCATCTCCGCCTAGTGCATGCGTATTGGAATTCAAGTTTACAATTATATCAAAATATATTGATTGTCAACAACCCTAAAGGATACATGGGGATACATAGTTAGGTGTGAAGCAATGTTTTCAAAATCGAACCAGAGATCCAACCATTTTAGTTTTTGATCCGTAGTTTTGATGGTTAAACTTGTTTGGCCAGTCAAAAAACTGAGTTAATTGAATTTTGAAAATATATATTAAATATAATATAATGCAATTCATTATAAAGATATAGAAGTGGCTCTAGTGATTGGGAACTCTTATCCATCTTAAAGAGAGCTTGAGTTTTAGTTTCATATATGCTAAATTTATTCAATTTATGTAATTTTATTATAATAAATATATTTTAAAGCACTAAGAGTCAACAAACTTAGTTTAGATCTAGTGACAGAAATAATTTTATGCATGCAAGAGAGTAAGTATTCAATTCTCATGTAGGCCACTCGAATTTTCCCTTTGAAGTCTTTTTAATATTTTTTAAAATATATTATTTGCAACTCAAGTTACAAAGAGGTTGGTTACTCTGGTGGCAAATAATTTGTTAAAATCTCATGGGGTGTGGCATTTATAACCCAGAAGCAACAAACCTCGCAAATTTCGTCCAAAATGTTGGCCTGGCCGGTTGGATGGTTTATTGGCTTTTATCAGTTCAGATGGTTTGAATGGTTTCAAGTGGTTTAATCCCCTAAATGGTTTTAGATACTCACCCAACTTGTTTCTATTGTCAAATGCAGGTCTGACCAATTTAACCAGCCAATCTGGTTTGATTTTCAAAACAATGGTATGAAGTAAAAATTACGGAAACATAGTTTACAATGGTATCTAGTAAAAATTTACATAGTTGCTATCATAAAAAACGCAGATACATATACTATTTTTTATTTAATCTTGAAGAACAAATGCTGTTAAGAAGAACATAAAATAAAAAAATAAAAAATAAAAACAAAAAAGAAAAAAGAAGCTGTGATGGAGAATACTAAGACGTATGTGAACACCCAATCTCCTATACAAGCCCCCCACTAGCCGTGGAGACTGATATTATTTTATTTACATGGAATAATAGCGATCAAGTTGCATTGTTGCACTTGTTGGTGTCCTTGAACAAAAACTAGTGGTAGCGGAAAAATTTAACGTTAAGCAACAATTTTAATTATTGTATAATTAAATAATGATATTAATTAAAATCTACTATTTATTATTTATTAATCTCTACCCACTTTTTACTCTCTCCTGTTAACTATCAGTTAACTACCATCAAGTACTCACTATTTATTAATTGTCACTCATTACCTATTATATGCTATCCACTACTTGTTATATTTTAATTATTATACCAAATAAGCCTTTAGATAAACAAAAGTAAAGTAAAGAGAAGATATTTTTTATTTAATTAAATAATTTTAAAAAATAAATAAAATTCTATAATTTTACTAATTAAATAAGTAATTAAAATGATATATATTTATATATTTATATATGTATTAGATTAGTGCTTTTAGCCTGGTCTGAAAAAAATTAAAAAAATAAAAAAAACTTCAAAACTATATTATTTTATTAAAGTACAACAGGAAAAGACCAACATGAACTTAATCTTGGTTTAAAAATAAGTTATTTTAATGCAAATAACTTAAATAATTCAATGATAATTTTTTTTTAGTAAGAGTATGAGATTCTAAATTTAAGTTACATGATATGCGGGTAGGGTGAGGTGGGGTGGGGTGAGAGATATGAAAAGATTTTCCCTTATTGTGTAATCCAAAATTAAAAAAATTAAAAGTTATTTTAATTTTTTTCAATAGCACTGTATTGAAACGACGTAATTTTAAGATTTTTTTCATCCTAATGTTTTAGAACTCTAGCCAAACTTTTCTATATATATATATATATATGAGATTAATGTTATGTCAATTGGGTTTCTAAAAAGTTAAGAGAATAAACACATCAAAACTATATTGTTTCATTAAAATACTAGAAGAAAAGACTAAAACAAATTCAATTCTTATTTTAAAATAAGTTATTTTAATTTTCTTCAATTAAAGTTTATTAAAACATCTTAATTTTGGATGTTTTTCCTCGTAATTTTTTAAAAGCACCACTAACAAATATTTTTTTCATATATATATAGGGCCCAACACTTGGCCAATTTATCACAATCCCCCTAATTTGATAATGGAAACTAGGGGAGTGTAGATGGGTTACATTACACCTCCATCTCCATCCCATCTCCATCCCCTTTCATTAGTGAACTAATCCGAGTAAAGGAAGCGACACATTCCCTTCACTTTCCTTCCTTTTCCCTCCAAATCCCTCAACTATGTCAAATTCTATAAACAATTTTATCTAAAATACAATGACCAACTAAACGAAAAAAAGGAAAAAAAAAAATCAAACATCATAATTTCACTAAGTTTTCCATCTCTGCCTAGTATCTGCGCGTACTGGAATTCAAGTTTACAATGATATCAATATACACTGATTGTCAACAACTCTAAAGGACACATGGAGAAACATAGTTTACAAAGGTACAAAGTAAAAATTACGTAGTTTACAATGATACGTAATCAAAATTTACATAGTTACTATCATAAAAAAGGTAAAAGTATGGAAAAAGGTCTTGAACTTGTACAAAATTCTCAATTTTGGATCCTAACTTCAATTGTGCTCAATTAAGGTCCAAACTACATGAAATTCTCAAATAAGACCTCAATTGGATGAAATATTCTCTTGTTGTCAAATGTCTTGGATGGTCGTTAACTCTCTCACCAACTGGATTGCCACATGGAAAATATGCTAATTTATCATTACCACATGGATGCCAAATGGATTTTGTTGGTGGGATTTTCCTTAAAAGCAATTAGGACCCACCAATGGCATCCACGTGGCAATAACAAGTTAGCAATTTTTCTTATGTGGTATTTTAGTTAGCTAAGAGAGTTACAAATGGTTAACAGGCATCCAAGACATTTGATGGCAAGAAAATATTCTATCTAGTAAGAGAATATTCCATTAAATTGGGACTTTATTAAAGAATTTCATGTAATTTGGGACCTTAATTGAGCACAATTGAAGTTTGGGTCCAAAATTGTGAATTTTGTGCAAATTTGGGTCCTTATATCATATTTTTGCCCATAAAAAAACGTAGATACATATAGTTATACTATTTTTTGTTTAATCTTGGAGAACAAATGCTGTTAAGAACATATAGAAAAAAAAAAAAAAAAAGCTATGATGGAGAATACTAAGATATGATTCTGGGAACATCCAATCTCCAACGCAAGCCCCCCAATAGCCATGGAGACTGATATACTTTGATTTACATGGAATAGTAGTGATCAATTTGCATTGTTGCAGTTGTTGGTATCCTTGAACAAAAACTAGAGGCAGCAAAAAGAAAATCGAAACAAAGATTGGATTCTTCACGGCCTGTCTGCCCCCACTATAATATTTTAAAGTGAAAATGAAAGAGATAATATCACCAGTGAGTTACTTTATTCTAACTCACCCACTACTGTCTCCAACAGTAGTTTCTTCAAGACTTAAAACATATTCCATTATGTTGAATTCTAAAGAAATGCATAAAAGCCCTTATATATATCAGAATGATCGATCACTTCGATTTATTGAACAAAACCGCCTTTCAATGAATATGATAACTTCTTTGGATAACATCAGTATTACGACGTTTGGATCGAGTAATTCTAATAAATATGAATAAATTTTAATATCAATAACTTTTAAATATGAAGTAAAAATATGAAATGCATAACTAGCAAAACAATATTCACTCCAAAAGTTTTTAAATGAATCAATTCTAAAGCTTCCATCAAACGGATAGCGACACATATATCTAGGGCTAAAATATCTCTGGTAGATAAGGATCCCAAAAGCAGAAGTTATATTATTTCAGGACCACTACTTATCTGGCAAAGATTTTATCTGTGGACCATACTTTCAGACCCATAAAGAACAATAGAAACTGCGCTATATATACGTAGGGCTTGATTTCTTTGCAGTAAAGAGCAAAACGAAAGAAAGATTAAAATCCAAGTGACTAGATGGAGGGTACGAGACATGGATCTATCAAGAGCAAACCAGTGATGTCCTCGTATCAGGCATCAAAGCCATCATCTTCCGCAATACAGTTCCACAAAGAAGAATCCATCTTATGTTACCTCTCATTCAGGTAAAGAATCATATGTCAAAGCCTACCATGAAACAATTGATGCCAGGGCTGCAAGTTCCATATTGTACGTTCAAGAGTGGCTTCGGCTTGAAAGAGCGGATTGAACTACTTATATGTTTTTTTTTTGGTACAATAAAATGATCGCTACATATGTTCACATATATGATCATTAGTCTTGCATATGCTTGTCATACAAATAGCTACGGTCTTATTATTAATTGCTAGAAATCGAACTTTGTTTTAACATGCATACTCCTGAATTTTGATGCAAAAGCAATTCAAGCTAAAGCAATCAAACTTGTCTTAGCAAGTCTGCAATCACAATTTCTTCTATAACTGAAGTAACTGAATCAAGAGTAGAGACGGTGGTATTTATTTAATAGAGATCTCTTTCTTGATGAACCCTGCATTCCCAAATAAAGTTGATTTCAGAATTGGCAAAAATTTCTGAAATAGCTAGCAATGGCTATCCAAGAACTTTGTAGTTAACAACTGATTACCTTGGCTAAAACACACTGCCTGCATTTGCTCCCTGAATTCTTGAGCTTATGTTGGCATCATCTAGCTCATGCAACTTAACATCAAAGTACAAGAACAAAAGTTCATTTCAACTCTAATTTTCTGAGCGTATACATAATTCATATAATCAACAAAAATTTAATGGGAAAATCTCACTCTTTTCTGTAGATGAGTGTTCTCCTCTTGGAGGGCTCTATGCTGTATGCCATTAAACAGTGCAAAATAAAATATGTTATAAACTGTAAATAAGGATATATTTACAGAACATATTGTAGGCAGCATGGTATCTTACCCTTTTCTTCAGCGAGTTGATTTGCTGAGAAACAATTCCCCTCTGTCATGGCAATTACAAATTAACCAAAATCAAATGATGGATCAATTTTGAAGAACAATATCCCAGGGAGGATTTTGCATTACTATCCGGAATGAGTACTCATTTACCTTTTTGGAGCGAATACGTTCCACTCCAATCTTTAAATGTCGCTCTAGCTGTTTCAACTCTTTCATGCCCAAGGCTGATATCTCTTCTCCAGCTAAGTGCCTAAAAGCAAATTAAACTTTGCTGTATAATAATGTTTGCATGATGAATAGATGAATAAGAATACCACTTTCTTGTGAAGCAGCTGCTAGTGCTGCACATACTTAAGTCTTGCTTCCAGGGTGTCTATGGATCTCTTTAACTCGTCGATCTCGCTTCTCCAAAACTGATAAAATAGGAAAGAGGAGTAAGATTATTAACATTTAGAATTAAAACCAGTCTCTATTTCTGAATCTTGAAAATTTAAAGATCAAAATATATCTTAATTATCTATAACATACCCTACAGAAATGGAAAAAGAAATAAGGTAAGAATGGATGTTAACAAACAAATATTGATCATGAACATTTGCTAAAAACGCGACTACAACATACTCAGATGCTGAGCTATGCAATAGGACTGAGATATCCCTCCCTTCCCAAACCTCTTCCCACTTATCTCAGGATTTGAACTTGGAATCTCCAACATAGAAATTCGAACTCTTAACTACTAGGAAGCCACAAATGTTATTCTTCAAATATTACTTGGACTGATTTTTTTACTCTTCATTCAAATTGTATGCAGTACATATCTATAAATTGTCAGAAGTGTTTTATTTGATTAATTATTTGATTGTTAGTGTTTGTGCAAAATCTACAAAGTGATGATGGAAAATGAATGCACTCCTCATTTCAGGAAGTTTCCTTAGGACAAAAGCATTCAAATTCAGTGAAGGCATGCATGCTACTAATATATAGCAATCAACGTGATCCCATCATTCAGCCAAACCTTTCCAATCAGGTTAAAGATAGTCCATTCATATATACTTGGCTTGGGATTGAATGTTTTTTATATTCTTGAGATTGAATTTGAACGTTAGGATCATGTCCAGTTACCAACCAAATAAGTAGATTGTAAGGATGAGTTCTTTCACTTGGTAATATATAGTATAATCAAATCATTCAATTTCAAGGATTGGTAATTAATCAACCTTTGTAATTAACAATACCCAGACTTTTAAACAAAAGGCAGAGAATTTTAATGCAGAATAAAGACTAAAGAACCAAAAAAAAAGAAAAAAAAAGAAGCATTCTGGGATGTATTATCATGATAAAAACTTCAAGATGACATATAATAGTCATTAATAAAGATATTGCTTGGACACTTGATATTGTTATACCATAAAAACATATATAGAAAGCTTGACTAAAAAATTCTTAAAATTAATTACCTCCATGGTTCTAAAGTGAGGATCAATTGAATTAGGCAGCCCTACTTCCATTCTGTACCTTGAAATGGTCCTATCCATGCTGTACCCAGAATTAAGAAAAATATTATCAAAAGTTAAAGAATAAACGAGTTAGTAGTATATAATTGAGTTTAAACTTTTAAATTGAATATATATAGTTAACATATATACTCATGACTGGCAAACTGGTAAATCTTTGCAGAAGGAGAGAAGATGAGGAGAGCAACTTCAGCATCGCAGAGGATAGACAGCTCGAAAGCCTTCTTCAGAAGTCCATTTCTCCTCTTGGAGAAGGTCACCTGCCTGTTTGTTGGGTTCTCTATTCTCTTCAGCTCCACTTTTCCTCTCCCCATCTCTTATCTCTCCTCCCTCTTCCCACCTAAACCGAGGAATTCCTCATTCCTTAAATACATACATATAGTAGAATACGTCCATGCAAACAGAAAAAATATTTGTGTTTGATAAGACCAACAATGAAAATAAAGATTAAATGTGTAAAGTGGAAAATTTTCACCTCAAAAAATTTTAAAAAAAAATATGTGAACTACTTTAACTATAATTAATTGATTTTAAGTTGATTATTCAACTTATATTTCCACTAATATGTTTAATTTTCACATATAATGACACGACAGCACTACCTATTTCACTTTTGAAATTTCCTTATTCCCCCATAATTCCAAAATTTTTCGCTTTCTTTCAAGTCGGAAGCCGTTTGAGTCACGGCTTGTTACATGTATACTAAGGTCACAGGGGAATCCAAATCGTGTCCGAACGTTGGAGGACCAGACAGAGGCAGATATATGTACAGAGACGGACGTTTAATTTGCCGAACAATTTTGCGGACAGTGGAAGATGGTGAATCGCGTGAGTTCCTAAGGGAGACCGACACGTGTTTTTGAGATTGATTGATTGATGCATTAAGGAAGGAGGAGATTGGAGAAATGTTTCAAAAGGTTTTGATGTTATCATGATGCCCTTTTGAAAAAGGAACAATGTAGGTCCTCTATTTCTGTTGAGATTTTATGCCTTTTGACGAAGGAAGAGGAAGACGTGTCGATGGTTGGCTCGCTGGAAGTCGAGGTGCTGTTGGCTGCTCTGGCAATTGGAATATTTGCATCCATATCCTTCACTCCTACTGCGACCAAAAACTTGGATGATTCAAAACTGTTCTGACCGGAGTAAAATACTTGTGCAGCCGCAATACTGTATTGCAATCCTAGACACTGTCCTGATTAGTACAAAAAATATTGGTATATATTCGTTAATATTTATTGATTTGATTATCAAAATTTATTATTAAAATTTTTTTATTTAAATTTAAATTTAAAAAAAATAATTTTTTAATAAATATATTATAAAATGTGTTAAACTAATAGATATTTAATTGGTATATAACTATAACATTATCTTGGGCAAAACATCAAATAAAGACACAAGCAAAAACGATTGTAAAATTACGACCATAATAACATCTTATATATTTTCCCTATCTTACAGTAATGCTAGAGTTTTCTATATTACAATCTTAATTATTTTTAATTGTAAAATAAGAATCTTTAGATTGAAAGAAAGCCCTTAATATTAAAAAGCTTTTCTATGTCTAAGAGGAAATAATTTACAACCAAAATAACCTAAACTGTAAAATACTTTTTTATTAATAGTAGTTCTTTTTTACTTAAAATTTTTTTTTATTTTAATTTTGTTTTTTTCATATTTTAAAAACGACATTTTTTTATGCTTTAAATAACCCTCTTATCTAATCACTTTAAATCTACCTCCTATTAGAAGTTTCTTTTTATATTTATTTTTTTTTAAGAATAATATCAATAAAAATATAAATTATCCATAAATTCTTAATATAGGGAAAAAGTCATAAGATAAAGGTAGTAATAAAAATGTTATTTATCTAACATCTAACAATATATTTGATTTGAGAAAAATAAAAATAAAAAAATAAAAAGGAGAGAAAAATTGAAAGATGCGACATCTTTTCCCGTCATTGGGATAAGTGCAGAAATTAAAGTGAAAATAAGGTAAATAACTCTCCTCCCCTCTAAATTTTTTGGTAACCAAAAAGGAGAATTCCCATCCCTCCCCTCCCCTAAACCAAACTTACTATAGGGGCAATAGCATCGACTAAACCAAGGAAAAGGAGGATCTGATTATGATCGCTAAGGTATTATCCAGGAAGAAGATCAATCTCAGGGGTTTTCAAAGTGCTTTGTCGCTTTCATGGAGAACTAGAGTGTAATAACTTGAATAATTTTACAAATTTCTCAAGATCACTGTAACTCAGTGGGTTAAAATATAATTATGAGCAAATATAATTATAGATTTAAAGAATTATTATTTATTAAAAATTCAAATTTAATGAAATCAAATTAATATAAGAATTAAATTGGGCTAAATAGCAATTGATGTGTTATTAATTTAGCATTATTACCTTCTTTAATAAAAATATAACAATGAATGGCAAACTTAGGATGCGTTTGGGATTGTGGTTAGAAATTTTTTATTGTAGCCATATAGTGCTTTTAGATAAATATGTATTTGGTAATTTTTTTTTAGATTACTTTTTCTAAAAGTTACAAAAAGTTACAGTGGATTTATAACAGGTCTGGGTGCGTTCAGGATTGCTATAAGGTACTATAACTGTAGTTATAGTTGTAACTATGGCTGTGCTAAATTGTGTTATACTGTAGTTATGGTTAAAAGTTATTTAAATATTTAGTTATTTATTTTTTTAAAAGTATTATGGATGAAATATGATAAATTTTATTAATTATTAATTAAAATTTAAAAGGTATTATATGATGAACAATTACTAAAATAGATAACATTTACT